GACTCACAGAGAGACCCACAGACTCACACAGAGATCCATAGACTCACATAGAGACCACAGACTTACATAGAGACCCACAGACTCACACAGATCCATAGGCTCACATAGAAACCCACAGACTTACATAGAGACACAGACTCACACAGAGATCCATAGACTCACACAGAGATCCATAGACTCACATAGAGACACAGACTCACATAGAGACACACAGACTTACAGAGAGACTCACAGACTCACACAGAGATCAATAGACTCACATAGAGACCCACAGACTTACATAGAGATACAGACTCACACAGACACCCACAGACATACATAGAGACCCACATACTCACACAGAGATCCATAGACTTACATAGAGACCCACAGACTCACAAAGAGACACACAGACTTACATAGAGACTCACAGATTCACATAGAGACCCACAGACTCACACAGAGATCCACAGACTTACAAAGAGACCCACAGACTCACACAGAGACCCACAGACTCACACAGAGACCCACAGACTTACATAGAGACACACACTCACACAGAGATCCACAGACTTACATAGAAACCCACAGGCTCACACAGAGACCCACAGACTTACATAGAGACACACACTCACACAGAGATCCACAGACTTACATAGAGACCCACAGACTGACACAGAGATCCATAGACTCACATAGAGACCCACAGACTTAGATAGAGACACAGACTCACACAGAGATCCACAGGCTTACATAGATACACAGACTTACATAGAGACCCACAAACTCATACAGAGATCCACAGATTTACATAGAGACCCACAGACTCACATAGAGATCCATAGACTCACATAGAGACACACAGACTAACATAGAGAGACAGACTTACACAGACTCACACAGAGATCCCTAGACTCACATAGAGCCACAGAATTACATAGAGATCCACAGACTCTCATAGAGACCCATAGACTCACATAGAGACCCATAGACTTACATAGAGACCCACAGACTCACATAGAGTCACAGACTTACATAGATACACACACTCAGACAGAGATCCACAGACTTACATAGAGACCCACAGACTCACACAGAGATCCATAGACTCACATAAAGACCCACAGACTTACATAGAGACAGAGACTCACACAGAGACCCACAGACTCATATAGAGACTCACACAGAGAACCATAGACTCACACAGAGATCCAAAGACTCACAAAGAGACCCGCAGACTTACATAGAGACACAGACTCACACAGATACCCAGAGACTTATATAGAGACCCAAAGACTCACACAGAGATCCATAGACTCACACAGAGATCCATAGACTCACATATAGACCCACAGACTTACATAGAGACACAGACTCACACAGAGATCCACAGACTCACACAGAGATCCACAGACTTACATAAAGACTCACAGACTCACATATAACCAGAGACGTACATAGAGACTCACAGACTTACACAGAGATCCACAGACTTACATAGAGACCCACAGACTCACACAGAGACTCACAGACCTTCACAGAGATCCACAGACTTACATAGAGACCCACAGACTCACACAGAGACCCACAGACTAATACAGAGACCCACAGACTTTCATAGAGACATACACTCACACAGAGATCCACAGACTTACATAGAGACCCAAAGACCCACAAAGAGATCCATAGACTCACACAGAGATCTATAGACACATAGAGATACAGACTTACATAGAGACATAGACTCACACAGAGACCCACAGACTTATATAGAGACCCAAAGACTCACACAGAGATCCATAGACTCACACAGATATCCACAGACTTACATATAGACCCACAGACTCACATAGAGACACAGACTCACATAGAGATCCGCAGACTCACACAGAGATCCATAGACTCACATAGAGACCCACGGACTCACATAGAGATACAGACTTACATAGAGACACACACTCACACAGAGATCCACAGACTCAGAAAGCCATCCAAAGACTCACAAAGAGACCCACAGACTTACATAGAGACACAGACTCACACAGAGACCCACAGACTTATATAGAGACCCAAAGACTCACACAGAGATCCATAGACTCACACAGAGATCCATAGACTCACATATAGACCCACAGACTTACATGGATACACAGACTCACAAGGAGATCCACAGACTCACACAGAGATCCACAGACTTACATAGAGACACAGACTCACACAGGGATCCACATACTTACATAGAGACCCACAGACTCACACAGAGATCCATAGATACACATAGAGACCCACAGACTTACATAGAGACACAGACTTACATAGAGACTCACAGACTCATACAGAGATCCATAGACTCACACAGAGACCCACAGCCTTACATAGAGACCCACAGACTCACACAGAGATCTATAGACTCACAAAGAGACCCACAGACTTACATCGAGACACAGACTCACGCAGACTCACACAGAGACCATTGACACACATACAGCCACAGACTTACATAAAGAGATCCACAGACTTACACAGAGACCCACAGACTCACAAAGAGATCCATAGACTCACATAGAGACTCACAGACTTCCATAGAGACACAGACTCACACAGAGATCCACAGACTTACATAGATACACAGACTCACACAGAGACCCGGAGACTCACACAGAGACCCACAGACTTACATAGAGACACACACAAAGAGATCCACAGATTTACATAGTGACACACAGACTCACACAGAGATCCATAGACTCACATAGAGACCCACAGACTTACATAGAGACACAGACTCACACAGACTCACACAGAGATCCATAGACTCATATATAGCCACAGACTCACATAAAGCCCCACAGACTCACACAGAGACCCACAGACTCAAACAGAGATAGACAGACTTACATACAGACCCGCAGACTCACACAGAGACCCACAGACTCACACAGAGATCCACAGACTCACACAGAGATCCATAGACTCACATAGAGACACAGACTCACATAGAGACCCACAGACTCACACAGAGACCCACAGAATTACCTAGACCAACAGACTCACATAAAGACCCACAGACTCACACAGAGACCCACAGACACACACAGAGATCCATAGACTCACATAGAGACCCACAGACTTACATAGAGACTCAAGACTCACAAGAGATCCATAGATTCACATAGAGACCGACAGACTTACATAGAGACCCAGACTCACATAGAGATCTATAGACTTGCATAGAGACCTACAAACGTACATAGAGACACAGACTCACACAGAGATCCATAGACTCACATAGAGACTCACAGACTTACATAGAGACCCACACACTCACACAGAGACCCACAGACGCACACAGAGATCCACAGACTTACATAGAGACCGACAGACTCACACAGAGATGCATAGACTCACATAGAGACCAACAGGCTTACATAAAGACCCACAGACTCACACAGAGACCAACAGACGCACACAGATCCACAGATTTACATGGAGACCCACAGACTAACATAGAGAGACCAACTGACTCACACAGAGACCCACAGACTCACATAGAGACCCACAGACTTATATAGAGACCCACAAACTCACACAGAGACCCACAGACGCACACAGAGATCCACAGACTTACATGGAGACCCACAGACTCACACATAGATGCATAGACTCACATAGATACCCACAGACTTACATAGAGACCCACAGAATTACATAGAGACACAGACTCACACAAATATCCGTAGACTCACATAGAGACCCACAGACTCACACAGAGATCAATAAACTTACATAGAGGCTCACAGACTTACATAGAGAGCCACAGACTCACACATAGAGCCACAGACTTACATAGAGACCCACAGACTTACAGAGAGACCCACAGACTTACATCGAGACGCACAGACTTACGTAGAGAGACCCATGGACTTACAGAGACCCACAGACTCACAGAGAGACCGATTGACTCACATAGACACCCACAGACTTACATAGAGCCACATACTTACACAGCGATCCACAGACTCACACACAGACCCATAGACTTACATAGAGAGTCCCATATACAGTAATTACATATAGAAACATATACTTACATAGAGACCCATAGACTCACGTAAACTCACAAGGATCCACAGACTCTCACAGAGACCCATAGACTCACAGAACCCACAGACTCACACAGAAATCATAGACTCACAGAACCCACAGACTCACACAGAGACCCATAGACTCACAGCACCCACAGACTCACACAGAGACCCATAGACTCACAGAACCCACAGACTCACACAGAGACCCATAGACTCACAGGTCCCACAGACTCACACAGAGACCCATCGACTCACATAGAGACCCACAGACTTACATAGGAACCCATAGAGATACATAAACTCACAGAACCCACAGACTCACACAGAGACCCATAGACTCACAGAACCCATATGCTCACACAGAGACCCACAGAGTAAAATTAAGGCTAACGGACTTCCATTGAGGCAAAAACTTACACAGACACCCTTAGACACGTACCCATGGAATCAAACAGATCCGCTAACAGCACTTGCCACAACAGCCTGCTACAAGCTACACGGGGATCTTTGTCTGTGTGTCTGTTTGTGTGTGTGTCTGTGTGTCTGTGTGCGTCTGTGTGTGTGTGTCTGTGTGTGTGTCTGTGTGTATGTCTGTGTGTGTGTCTGTGTGTGTGTCTGTGTGTCTGTGTGTGTGTGTCTGTGTGTGTGTGTCTGTGTGTCTGTGTGTGTGTGTGTCTGTGTGTGTGCCTGTGTGTCTGTGTGTGTCTGTGTGTGTCTATGTGTGTGTCTGTGTGTGTGTCTGTGTGTGTGTGTATGTGTGTGTCTGTGTGTGTCTGTGTGTCTGTGTGTGTGTCTATGTGTGTGTGTCTGTCTGTGTGTGTCTGTGTGTCTGTGTGTGTGTCTATGTACCTGTGTGTGTGTCTATGTGTGTGTGTCTGTGTGTGTGTCTGTGTGTGTCTGTGTGTGTGTCTGTGTGCGTGTGTGTCTATGTACCTGTGATGCGCGTGGAGGAGCCGCTCCCGCTGAGCTGGAATCTGTCGCCTCCTCCTGCTGCTGCTGGGGACAAGCAGAGAGATGGGCGAGGTAGTGAGGGGAGAGAGTGGGCGGGGAGTGCGTGAGAGTGTGTGTGGGGGGGGGGGCTACGTGTGTGTGTGTGGGGGGGGATACGTGTGTGTGTGGGGGGATACGTGTGTGTGTGTGGAGGGGGGGGGGATACGTGTGTGTGTGTTTGTGCGAGTGTGTGTTTGTGAGTGCACAGACTGTAACAACTACAGCGGCATCTCACTCCTCAGTGTGCCGGTAGATGTCAGGGCAAGGATTGTTCAACATCGCCTAGACAGGCACGCTGAGGAGAGGCTTGCGGAGCCCCAATGTGGTTTCAGGAAAGGGCAGTCCTGCACAGATGCCATATTTTCTGTCCGTCTGCTACAGCAGAGGTGTAGGGAATTCCAACAAGACCTACATCTCTGCTTTATTGACCTGGTCAAGGCCTATGATACCATCAGTAGGCCTGGGCTCTGGGTTGATCTTCGTGATTTCGGAGTCCCTGACCCACTGCTCACGATCATTAAGGACCTTCATGATGGTGAGCGGGCCTGGGTAAAACTACGTGGCTGGGAGTCGGAGCCATTCCCTGTACACCTTGGGGTGCGACAGGGATGTCCTCTGGCTCCCACGTTATTTAACATCTATTTTGACCACGTAGTTCGTGAAGCCTTCAATAGCTGTACCGGGGGAATCTCCATTTGGTACATATATAATGGTTAGGCTGATCAATGCCCTATTGCTCAACCACGTTATGTATGCCGATGATTTGGTAATAGATGCTCATTCAGAGGAGGCGTTGGAGACGCTGCTGCTGAGACTGGAGCGTGCCACTAAGAGATGGGGCCTTACCATCAGCCCACCAAAACTAAGCACCTGCCTGGGTATTTTGTACCATCGGACACTCCACCCCCACAACTCCCAGTTGGTGATGGGGCAGTTGTGGAGAGAGTGGAGATTTTCCCATACCTGGGCAGTGTGCTTATGACCGGCTCCAGTTTAACAGCAGAGGTCTCACTCCGAATCAATCGAGGGGCAATATATTTTCATCAGTTGCGTAACGCTGTGTAGAAGCTACCTGGTCTGTTGATCCGCACTAAGCTTCAGGTCTTCTCGGCCACGGTCATTCCCTCCCTTCTCTACGCTTGCGAAACGTGGACCCCCCTAATGGAACATGTTCGCCGGTTAGAAACATTTAGACTGGCCTGCCTACGATCCATCCTGGGTTTAACCAGGCTGGATTGTGTGAGGAGCTCACAAATCATTGAAAGATCTGGGTAAGGTCCCATCGGTGAGCTCCTCTAGCAGGCAAGGCTGCGTTGGCTGGGTCATGTAGCCCGCATGCCCAGCCACCGCATGCCGAAACAGCTTTTGTTCGGCCGGTTCGAGGGGGCTAAACGGGCGCGGCACGGGCTAGAGAAGAGATGGAGTGATGTGGTACAGGAGGACGTGGAGCTGAGTTGATTTGCCGATGACCGGTACCAGCGGTGTCAAGATCGGCCTCTGTGGAGGAGGCTCGTGAAGGACGCTACTGGGCAGTTGGAGACAGTCGCCCTCCAACAACAACGGAGGGCGAAGGAGCGACCCTCACAACAACGAGCGGAGCGCCGGGTGGCTAAAGCGCAGCAGGTTGGCACAGTAGGGTGTACATGTGGTGCATCAGCCAGTCATCTCAGTCAGTCGACCCGTGGCACCTGGGTCTGCCCCGTGACCTCCTGCCAGCGGGCGTTCGACACTTCACGTGGCCTCAAGGTGCACATGGCCTGGCACAAGCGTCGTGGTGACGTCACCGCCACTTAGTGGCGAATGGCGGTTGTTGTTGTGAGTGTGTCAGTGTGTGTGAGTGTGTGTGTGTTTCTGTGAGTGTGTGTTTGTGTGAGTGTGTGTTTGTGTGTGTCTGTGCGTGTCTGTGTGTGAGTGTGTGTGTATGTGTGTGTCTGTGTGTATGTATGTCTGTGTGTGTCTGTGTGTGAGTGTGTGTGTATGTGTGTGTCTGTGTGTATGTGTGTCTGTGTGTGTCTGTGTGTATCTGTGAGTGTCTGTATGTGTCTGTGAGTGTCTGTGTGTGTCTGCGTGTGTGTCTGTGTGAGTGTGTGTGTGTGTCTGCGTGTGCCCGTGTATCCGAATGTACGTGTGTTCTGCGTTGCCGTGCGCTTAGATCGACTCAGCCTCTGGCGGGAGACAAAGGCGGCCGGGCGTGGTTGCAGGCCACTTTCGTAGTGCTTGCTGCTCGCTAACAGCACTTGCCCCAACAGTCTGCTAAGGCTACACGGGGGACCTTTGTTGCGTTGCGTTTGCCCGTCTGCGTTCGTCTCCCCTTCCTGCCTCGTCTCATTATCTCCGCGGTGTCTCTCCTCCCACGTCTCCCGAACGTTCCCATGCGCACGTTGTTACGCCCCACGGACACACGCCTTTAATTTAATTCGGCTCATTTGAAACAGTTTAAACACCCAAAATCCCCACCCCCCCTCTGAGTCACAAGTCTGAAACTGGTTTTGACTTTCAGTGTCTCATCAGCAGTGCCAGGTTTTTTTCAACCATTGCTTGCGAACTGCCAGATATGAGGGAGACAAGGACCGGTTTTGACTTTCAGTGTCTCAGCAGCAGAGCCAGGCTTGCTGCAAACAATTGCTTGTGAATTGATCGATATGCATAGGCAATGACTGGTTTTGACTTTCAGTGTCTCATCAGCAGACCCAGGCACGCTTTAAGCCAACGCCAAGGCGAACGTTCCCTTGACGGCATCCCACAGTAAGCGGTGGGGCATTGTCGGTTGGCGTTTTTCAAATGAATCCCCTTGCCGGGTGACAAACTGCTCAGAATGCCGCAGTCAGGGCTCGTCGCCGGAACACCCGCCGCATGACCACGTGTCCCCGGATCTCTTCTCGTTAACACTGCCTTACCCGGTCTTGAAACGGGCGGCAGAGTTCAGGAGGCTTCTCGCTCTCGCGGCGTCAACGATTCAGAGTTTCCCGGAGGCACCCTGCGTCACCAAACGACTCCCGCGGCCTCGTCCGCGCGGCTCGCTCTCGCCCTCTCTCCCCGCGGGAGCGCAGAGCGGCCTGCGCACGACGCTGGGCCGTCCCACGCCGACAGCGCCGACCACCGTAGATAGCCGACGACTCTCCCGCAACGCGACGTCTAGCGGGGACGGCGACGGCGGCGGCGACGGCGGCGACGGCGGCGACGGCGGCGATGAGTTGAGTCCCACTCCCGGTATGGCAGCCTCGAGCCCCCCAGCTCTCGGCTCCTTTTATTCTCCCGGAGCGGCCCCCGGGGCTCCGCCCTGGCCGCGCCTCCCTTCTCGAACCCGCCGGCAGCAGGTTCCAGAGGCGCCTCCAGGCGGGGTCCTCCGTGAACCCTTGCCCCGGTTCCTCCGCCCTGCCGACACGCAGTTTCCGCTGCTGCCCACCGGCTGGCGCTGTTACACTCTACACTCTCACGGGCTGTCAAGGGACACCGGTGAGACTAGGCCATGAAGAAGCATGTCCCTCTGCAGCATGGTGGCATTGTCGAAGGCGAGACGTTGTCAAAGACAATGCCGTCGAGTTTCCTTTGGGCCTTTCGGTAAAGCCACGTAGATGGAAGAAAAATAATAAATATCACCGACGTTTCGATCGCGCGCAACACAAGCAATCGTCATCAGGTGAACACACATATAGTGGGAGAGCCTGAGGCAGGAATCGTATAACCTTCTGCCTCAGCGCCGGAAGCTGCGATGTACAAATTTAAAGGGGAGCCTCAATTGGACGCGAACTCACGAAACAGCTCGGCAAACGCAGCTGTCTCCTAACCCCAGAAAAAAACCACCCCCTCTATTATAAACGACATTGGTGTTAAACTGACTAACCCCCCCCCCCCCCCCCCTGAGGGTCGTTAAGATCGGCAGACTCCGGCACCTTCCGTGCGTGCCTCGATCCCCCGGGGCTGCTGAGCGAGGCGACTTTCTACGGCCGCGCCGCGGTTTGCGGAAAGTCGCCACCGTTGCCGCACACGAACAAAAACAAAAAATCGTTCGTCCCATCGCCTGGGCGCGCCTTTGAGTCTCGTCGTCTTGAAAACAAAAACAAAAAAATATCCAAGGCCTTCTTGAGTCAGGTCATTCTACTTAGCTGCTCGTTCTCCCCTGGCCTTTATCCTTATTCTTGCAAGGCGCCTCTAGGCATTGCGTGGACGGCGCCTTCGATACGAGTGTCAATTATGATGATGATGATGATCGTCTTTGGTCCTTTCGGTAAAGTGACCACGTAGAATGAGGATAAAATAATAAATTGATAAAATAAAATAACACAATAACATTCTCACGACGTTTCGGCCACAACACAAGCAGCCTTCATCAGGTGAAGGGACGAGACTGTCTGGAGGACAACGTGAGAATTTTCTTGCGTTATTTTATTTTATCAATTTATTATTTTATTCTCATTCTACGTGGCGGTGACTTTACCGAAAGGACCAAAGAAGATGAATCCTTGCAGTCACGAAAGCTTTAAATCGAGATGATGATGATGATGATATTGATGTGTCGCAGTCACGCCACTTGCGCCTTGGAGGTGACCTGCATATAAAAGGGGACGTCCCCCCCATCCCCCCCTTCCCCCCCACCTCCCCTCACTGAATTTCACCACCCTAGGATGATTTCCGAGCCATCTTAGGGGTTTTGGCCTCTGTGGGGCTGGTTGGGGTTGGTGGTGGGGGAGGAGGAGGAGGAGGAGGCGGTGGGGTTGTCTCGGCCAAGATTCGACTGTGGGGCCCAAGCCTCCATCCCGCCGACTCACTTTGACCGAAATAGCTACGGATGGGGTTGTGTTTTTATTATTTTATTTTACTTTAAACCCCGCGTGCAATAACATGTCAGGCAATAACTGCACGCCGCTAGTATATATTAGATATTGTTTAACACGAAGGCTCTCGCGACCAATTCACAGCTGTGAACGTTGTGCCGGGTTTGGTCTCGGAACCCACCGTGAGGGAGACGGTCTCACAAATGGCAGCGTTGATTCATCATAAGCGGGAGGTTATAAGTCGTAATTCGTTGTGCTCCCAGCACGCAACTACCGGAATAGCAGAACTCCCCATGGGCGTGG